TCCTCTACACGTTACCTGAGCCGTAGCTGGTAATTCTAGAGACACCTAAAGGTCCTGCCAGTGCCGGCTATAGTGAAGACACTGAATTTCCCAAGTTGGCAAGTGACAGAAGTAGGAACAAGACCTTCAGACCTTGATTATCTACAGACCCACAGGATCACCATGCGATTAAGCTGGTCCCTGTTTATGTTTTCCTGACATCTGTAGTCTGGCTTTTTTTTTTTTAAATCTAGTTTCTGATAATTAATCTACTGAAATTCTTACTTGCTATATTTGACTCTGGAGATAATGTCTGAAAATACCTTTTCATCTCTTATAAACTCCTCAAAAAATAACTACACATCTTATTAATCAGGCTTTCTTAGTGCATGTACGGCTGCACCTGTGTGTGTGTACACACACGCGAAGTCGGAACAACCACTTTGGGCGTCGTTCCGCAAGCGACTGTCATCTTTTGTTTTTCAGAGGGAGTCTCTGGCTTGGGCGCTCCAGGTAGGCTAGCCTGGCTGGCCAGCAAGCCCCCAGGATGCACCTGTCTCTGCCTCCCTGTGCTGGGAATACAAGCAGATCGGATGCCTCGAGGCCCAGCCGTTTAAAGCCCGAGTTCTGGGGTTCAAACTCCAGTCCTCAGGCCGAAGGGCAAGTATTTCGCCTCCTGAGCCCCCCCCTCACTGTGTCTCATCTGTCTGTCCTCTCAATTTTTAAACTACAAGTTAAACTCTCGGCTGTTGCCTTTCATTCACAAAGGCATGCTGGGCAGGGAGGAGCCCGGTCCACCTGAGAACTACCTGACCATTTTCAACTTAGCTGGCAGGGACGAGAAAGCTAGCTCACGGCAGCCTGAGCATGGGAAGCTCAGAACGCAGCAGCCTCGTCACACGCAGCTGCTGCACGACGCAACGTACTAGGTGGAAAAACAGGAGCTGCAAAATGCGCAGGACAGGCAGAAGGAACGGAAAGGGTCATCGCTGGAGGAGTGAGCGGAGGTCTGACTCACAGGAGCCTGGGCTCCCCAATTAAAAACTTTACATGCCACAAAACCACATCTGTAGTTGTGTGCACGTGCACGCGCGTGCGTGCATGCGTGTGTGCGTGCAGTTTCTGGAAACAAAGCCCCCAGACTGCTGAGTGCTGGAAATGACAGAATCGAGACTAAATCATCTCTGCAATTACAATGTTAATAAGTGAAAAGAAAGATTTTTTTTTTACTTTCCCCTATGAGTTGGACTTATCTTACACTTTGAGGGGCCTCGCAGTATGAGGGGCCAGTTAGCTGGGTAAAGGGAACATGAGGGGCAGTTTTGGGAGCTTGTGGGAAGTTCTGACAAGAGGCACTGACAGTTTGCCTAGCTCAGCTCTCGGAGGACAGTTCACACCACTCTGTAACACACGGTGCTTCAGGTGAGCCTAACATCCCAGTCTTCGGCAACATGGACTAGTGAGGCAGCTTGCTATGGTGGCCACGGAGGCTGGTCTGCCTACTACTTAGTAGTTAGTTGGCTTCTACTGTAAAAGGAGGGTGATGAGAGCATGCAGCTCTTGGAGGGCTGAGAGCATGCAAATATCTAGTGTGAGAAAGTGTTATGGTGGTGGGAGCACTGACTATGGCGATGGGAGCACTGACTATGGTAGTGGAGCACTGGCTATGGCGGTGGGAGTACTGGCTATGGCGGTGGGAGCATTGGCTATGGCGGTGGGAGCACTGGCTATGGCAGTGAGAGTACTGGCTATGGCGGTGGGAGCACTGGCTATGGCGGTGGGAGCATTGGCTATGGCGATGGGAGCACTGACTATGGTAGTGGAGCACTGACTATGGCGGTGGGAGTATTGGCTATGGCGGTGGGAGCACTGGCTATGGTGGTGGGAGCACTGGTTATGGCGGTGGGAGCACTGGTTATGGCGGTGGGAGCACTGGCTATGGTGGTGGGCATGATGAACTATCAGCTCTGGCCATTTCACTATTCCTCCTCCCCTGTGAGGATGTGCCAGCCTTAGGAAGTTTCACTACACTTTCTTCTTACTCCGCTTTCTGCTGACTGGAAAGCAGAGGCTGGCATTGGCTTTCCTTGTCCACTACACCTTGAGCTGAACAGTCCCCACTGGGCACAGCCAGCATGGAGGGGAACACAGTACCTTCGCTCCTTCCTATCCTGGCCGCAGACCACGATCTCCTCACTATCTGCAGTTCCCTCTCAGACTCACCTTCTGGGTTCACATTCAATGTAATGAATAAAACCAACTTTTCAATGCAAAGGAAATTTATGGTATTTCCAACCATAAGAAAGAAGGGAAAAGTGCATTACTGAGTGTGCAATATTCCCTGAGTGGTTGACATCTCAGACTTTCCTTAAGACAAATAATCTCTAGAACTTTCCATGAGATAAGCACACCCCATTCCTCATTTCCTACCACACCTTACGTAATGTCACTGTACATCTGAACCATGACAGTTTTCTTAATGTGCACACTATTATTCTTCAGGATCCTAAAATTAACCTTTCCAGGGCTAATGAATTTTGAACATCTTTATAGCTGAAAAAATTATTAATTTGCAATGCCTCCACTTAGTTCCTGTTCATTGTTTCATTGACAAGATTCCTTATGGTGCCTAACTTTTGACCACAGAGATGTGTTATAAAATGTCAATGTGTAGATGATATTTGGAAGGTCTGGGATGGGGAGTCCCCTTAAATGGAGATGTCAACTCCAGCCAATTTCAGAATGGCTCACCATTAAGATGGATGTCTCCAAAGCCCCATGCCTCTGCTGGAAATTAGAGAAACCATGGAATAACTGATTATGATTAATTTTAAGTGCTCAGCCATGGGAGGCCAAATGAGCAGCTCGAAAACAAAGCTATTGATCTGGCTTTGTTTGGAATTGAGAAGATAAAGGAATCAGATCCCGCAGGCCTTTCGCAATGATGAGGAATGAGACCCTTGTATTATTTTTATTACTGTTATTAGTATTTTGGTCATGGGTTTCTAGGTTTTAACTTAGCTACACCTGATATATCTGGGTATCACTTTTTCCCCTTAGTAAATATCTGAGCATAGAGGAGTTGTCCAAATATGCCCTGGGCAGGAGTTTGACCCAGAAGAAGGCACAGTAGGGAGAGAGATGTGGGAAGCACAACATTTAGAGTCCCTCCTGTGTGGTCCCTTCTCAAAGGTGATAAAGACAAAGGTGAGAGGTCACAGAGCTTGACCCAAGTCTATGGCTTCCTAGTTCCCACCCATGGGAGTCTATCCTTTGCGCTCCTTTCCCCCAAAGACTCCCTCAGACAACACTCATAGAGAACTAACCAAGGGGCTGGCAGGTCATCACAGCTGTTCGGTGGCAGCTGTGACTTCCACTTCTTCATTTCTTCCAAAGAATTTTCTCATCTGTCTCATTCTCCCTCTCAGGGAGTAAAAAGGTGACAGGCTCCCTACCAGACCTTCCTACAGGGGCTTTTTTGAAGGCAGGGAAAATCATGCCTCCCTTCTCAGCTCCAGTTTCCCAGCAGGATAAGTCCTGGGTTGCTAAATTCCGAGCTGGCACACTCTCCCACAGACATGCAATTGTTGCCGGTTCCGGGGTCAGAGTTTGGGTGAGGAGAGACCATCCATCTCAGGACTGACAATCTGACCTCTCCTGCCTGTGGGTCCCGTCTTTTCCATGCCAGGAATCCTCAGCTTGCAACCGATTTCAAGTGGCTTGCAGCATCAGCATCCCCTGTATTTCCCGTGATTCCTCTTAGAATCACCTTCCTCTCTGGCAAGGTGGAGGGGAATCTTTCTAACCCACTGCTGGTGTCTTCCAGGTGAAAAGGAAGAATGTGCACCTTCCTTTATGTACAAAGGGATGTTGTAACATGTTCACTTATCGACCATTCATTCTTCCACTGCAAACAGGCACAGCAAACCTTTAACTATGTGATTTTTTTCCCCCCAAGGATGCTCAACTCATCCTATTCTCTCATCACTCTGAAGCTAGCACTGCTCCAACGTAATGATTTTTGCAGATTTTTGGAGAGGGCAAATAACTCTCAAGTTAGAGCAATCAACTCCTTTATTTTACGAAGGAGAAAACTGAGGCTCTGAGAGCCAAAGAGACTTGCCCAAGGTCACACGGCTAATTAGTGGCAGGGTAAGGACTGAATCGCATAGCCCCTGACCTAAGTTCTACTATGCTTTATTGCTTCCTCGCCAGGCTTCCCCACATCAAGGGCAGCGAGCAGTGTACCTGCTGGGGAGAGCAATCAAACTGTTTTCTAACACAATCCAACTTTAGTCGAATGACCCCAACGTGACCCCTCAGTGACTTTTCTCCAGAAAGCGGGTTTCTTTAGTTAGAGCACGTGAAAAATCCAAGACATAGGAGGACAGTCTTGTGTGTGTATGTTTCTATATAAGGTCCATGCATGTTGGGATTTCAAGGAGGGATCATTTCCCCTCAGCTTTTCGTCCCCACTACTTTAAGGTTACTGTTTAAAGTTTGAATTGAAGCCCGAGATAAGATCTCAGGAACAGTAGCAATAGCTAGACCTTACCAGTCTGTCTGTCATTTCCCCTCGTCCTGTGCCAAGGTCCCTCCCTGCTTCTGGCTAATTCCAACTCACCTTCTGGTGATAACCCCTCTGTCACTGGCCACAGACCTGTAACCTGTCTCCCTGTATGCCCACACTCAGAGAGCCGCTCCCTGAATACACAGACAGATGCTGGGGGGCTATTCTGGCCATCTGCTCCAACAAATACAGCGGGAGCATGGGAGAAACGGCTTGACTGAGGAACCCCAGTTTGTGGGAGGTGAGAAATCACACTTTGCAGCCTGCAAACACTTTGGCCAAGGTAAGCCGGAGGGATCTCCCGGTGCCCGATTTTAATAGCATTGCAGCAGGAGACCCAGAAAAGCACCCCCAAGGACCCCCCTGCACACATGCTCCCCCTTTCCTCTCTGCACAACGTACACACACTCTCTCTCGCACACACAAGGCAGTAATCGCAAAATCAACTCACAGGATCTCCAAATCGCGCAGCGCTCGGAAGGCTCCATCTTCAATGCAGCTGATGTGGTTATTGTCCAGTTGCCTGTGGGAAAGCAAGGGAGAGCATGAAGGCTGAGCAGGGGCAGCGGCGAGGGGCTGGGCGGCTAGTCGGCATCCCTGGCCGCCAAGCGCCTGTCCCTCCACCCATTGCAGGCTCTGCTTGTCCCTGCCAGGAGCTCCTGCAGAGCCAGCCTGTCTGCCACGCTGCTGCTGCTCCGTCTCTTCTCTCTGACTGTCTGAGGGAACTACACAGGCGAGCGCACCAAAGGCTGTCAGGTCTCAGTAAATATTAATTGCGCATTTTTTTTTTTTTTTTTTTTTTAGGCAGAAGGGAGTAATTTCATTACATTAGGGCATCCAATCCATTACGAGCTCTTACCGTCATGTCACTGAAACAATTTCATTAAGCTAAAGGCCTGTAAATCATTGGAGGTCACTGCTCTGCCCTCCGCGACCTCCCAGAATGCTTTTCCCCCCTCTCCCTCGTCTCCTTTTTACTGGAAGTTACAGTCTTTGCTTTGACACAGCGCTAAATCTCAAGGCTTTATCTGCCCAAGAGCGGTGAGGGTGCGTGGGGAATATACCGATTCCAAATTAGACTCAACTAATCTAATTTTATAGTCTTTTTATTATTCTAAGCACCAAATGTCTGTGGTGGTTTGTTGTCTCCGTGCATTGTTATGGGGCCCATCTGGTAGGTCATTCTATGGGAACATTTTGTGAATAAATACAGATTCCCTTAAACTGCACTAACCATCATCAACATTAAAGAAATTCATTGATGGAAGTGTCTGTGATAGAAGAGAAAAAGGAATGTCATTATTGCCTAAATGATGCACCACTTACATTTAAATTGGGAAGGATTAAATACACCTACTTTAGGATTCCTTTTTAATTTCCCTTTCCCATCCTAAATGCAGGAAAATAATGTATTTCTAAAAGATGCCTTGACTAATAGACATTCCAGTTGAGGACGAAGGGATTTTAGTCGAGAAGTAATACACAGACACCACTTTTTTTTCTGTGCCAAGAATGTATATTATTTGATAAGTAGTAAGTTAGGGTATTTATCACCACGACCACACCCAACTTATACTATATATAATACATCTAATTCCTAAAACGGCAATGCACAGAAAAGAATGTTGTACAGAAAATGACTATTAGCACCCAATAATTTTGTCCTTTGCAGAGGACACAACTGTTGGGGCAAGCTGAAAGTGTGGCTGTACTTAAAACTTTTTCCGTGGACATTCATATGAAATGAAAAAAAAAATGAGCCCTTTTAATGTGAGTCCTTTCCTATGGCTGGTGTTTTGAGTTGTAACTTCCAGTAATATACCCCAAATTACCTCTCCACAAAACACAGTCAAAGTAACATTTGGTAACTCTCACAGAGGGCTTTATTTTATTTTTTTTTTACCAAAGGAAGTTGGAATTGAAACTAAAATATTATCATCATTGCAAAAGTATATGGATGTAGGTCGATTATAAGCATATGTAAGTTTCGGTGCTGTTTCAGGTCCTGCATGATATTATGAAACTGTATTGCCCAGATAGATGGTCATCACGGTGCAAGGTTTAAAATGAATAATGCCCAGAATTGAAAGTAACTAAAACATGGGTCTCAGAAAGCAGAAGCATCCTTGAGGTTGACCAGTTCTCCACCTAGTGTTTCAAGTCCTGGTTAATGTTGGTGTACTAGGACTTACAGGGTTCTTCAGTCCCCAATCTGTCTGGATTTTGTTTTCTGTTCTTTACATGATTTTGCTGATTTCTTTGGATCTGTACTGGGGCACCCACATTCTGGGCAGTGGTTCTATTAGGGCAATCTAGTCTTGCTGCCCAGCTTCCAGATTTATCATCAATTTAAAGGACAATGAATCAAGAACCTCTGCTCTACGTCAAGGCCACCAAACCTTACCAAGCAGAAACTCGGCGGGACTGGCTTTGGGCTCCAAGAAATTGTTCAACGAACATGCTGAATTCGGCAAAAATGCACCATCCGCCTAAGTAGAAAAGTATCTAAATCATCAGAGTGGAAAGTCTGGGGTGTGGGGAGATGGCAATTTGTGGTGAACCTGCTCATGAGTGTGTGCATTCCAGAGAGCTCCCTTCAATTCTAGCACACTGCAAGCCGATGGATTTCCATTCCTTTTCTTTTTGAGGGTATCAGTAACCAAAGAGAAGATTCTAAACATACCGATTTCCCCCCCCCCCATGGGGAAAAATGGAGTCTTCAGGAGCAAATAGCAAGTTATAGAAATAAGAATGGAGGAAATCCCATCATAGAACGGTGGAAAAAGGATTAGAGGTTGGGGTGGGGGAGGGAAGCTAAGACGACTTTTAAAAATCTGAACACAATGTTACACCAGACTCCTGAAGCCCAGGTCATGAGACAGCCTGGACAAGAGGATCGTGAACATTTAAGGCAAAATCAGAGAGGCCAAATACTTCATTAATTGTGCGATGTTTAAGTATTTTCAGTGGGAGTCACGAATTGACACCCATTTGTTTATTCATAGGAGGGAAAACTGAGATGTAATATAAGCATCTCTGTGGCTATATTTCATAGCTTACTTTAGCACATATGAAATTTATCAAAATTTAAAATATTTATGCTTATGTGTGCTTGCCCAGAGGACGTTTATTGTAATGGAGACGGCGTCCTTTCGTTCTAACCGTACATAAACTGAACAGGACCTGTATCCCAGCCTTGCTAGTCAAAGGGCCAGGCTCAAGATGCACTGTTATGAAGTCTACATGGGTGCCCTGCTGGGGGGACGGTTTGTCAGGCAAATGGAAACCACAGTACTGACTCTACCACTCTACATGTGCAGCTTTGTAGAGCGGAGCATCCCAGGATTCAAGAAAAGCCCAATTAACAGCTCACAGTCACTTCCTTTGTTTCATGTAAACACTGGGTCCCCAAACAAAATGAGCAGTCGCCTGGTTCAGACAGATGTCTTTTCTTTTACCCTTATTTATTTATTCAAGGGAGGGGGTGTGGAGGTCAGAGGACAACTTGAGGAACTCCGATCCCTCCTTCAACTATGTGAGCTCCAGGGACTGAACTTTGGTCATCAGCCTTGGTGGCAAGTGCCTTTACCCAATGAACCATCTCACCATCCCTAGATTGCCTTTTCTTTCCAAAATAACAACTCAGAGACATCAAAGTCCTAAGGCACACAAACGGGGGGGGGGGGGGGGGGGGGCAAAAAAAAGCAAGTTCAGCATTTTTTTTTTTTTGTCAGTGTTGGAACAGAGGACTAATAAACACACAGAGAACCTTCTGGTAGCTGAAGCCAAAGCATTTGATTTAGCAGTTTGCTTCTGAGAGTTCAGTATGCTGGAGGCTGCTGATGTGTATTCTAAGCACTTGGGTCAAAGGTCTGTATCACGTCTTCATTCAAAGATGCTCTTAAAAATGATGAGAAAAGCCCATAGCATACTCTATACCAAGCACCCCATACTCAGGGGGCATGGGCAGAAAGGACTTTGGAAATCTGGGCAGAAAAAGCCCAGCAACTGGGCATGCCTTGCTTTGCCCCTGTTCTTCCTGGATGGTGAGAAGCATATTTTTCATTGATGCTAAGTACTGTCTTCTGCTTAGCACAGGTCCATGGAAGAAAGTGCTAAGCCATGAGCCACATGGTCCCAGCTGCTGCCCTGTGGCCCTTCTTATGACAAGAGAGAATGCCTAAGTATTATTTCCCTCCAAGCCTATACAGGGCTCAGCACCTCATGGCTCCCTGAGACACAGCCTCCCCCAGCAGGGATCCCCAGAAGGAGATAATACGAGATTTCCGTGGTCTTCCCAGGAGTCTAGGAAGGCAGTGGATGGAAGAGCGAAAGCCGATCTCTCTTTTTCTTTTTGAAGGTAACTCATCGTCCTCTACTTTATACAGAACACCTAACTTGATTTACACTCCTCGGTCTCTGAATAAGTTGAGAAGCCCCAAAACATTTCATGATATTAAATTAACCTCCCTAATTTCCCAGGGAAGCTTCAATTTCAGCAAACAATATGACTGCTAAAACGATCCCAGAGCCCATTTAGAAAGAAATCCTCAGACAAAAACTAAGTGCAGACTCCCTGAGAGCAGTGTTCTGACTACTGCGCTCTCACAGTCTGTGAAAATAAACAAGTCAGAAAGGAAAGCCAGCGTGAGTGGGGACTCTAAGTAGTCTGTTCGTACAGCAGACTGGGCGATGGCACTACTGTGAGAATTCCTGATCCTAAGCGGAATATGCTCCAAATTATCACAGTTTGTCTCTTTAGCTTTCAGTTTCAATCTTCATAATTGGAGCAGGAGAGAAACATTTTTTGCAGTTCAAAAATCCTAACAAAGCACGTGTAAATCCTTAAAAGAGGTGGGAGTTAGAAAAAAGCTGGTCTACAACATTAACACCAATCCTCCCCACAACAATTACCACAAAAAGTAAGAAAATTCCAAGACTTCAATGATGCATATGAGTCCCCATGAGAAATATCTAGGAAACAGAAATCTCCAGAAACAGGCTTTGGCTATTTGAAATAAGAGTAGAATTTCCAACAGCATTTCTTATGCATACACAAGGTCTGCACACCCGGGCTCATCCCGCTGTTGTGGAGGTGATGAGCAGCATCTCGTCAAATGGTTGGTGAAACTCAGCCTGAAGGCATCGTCACTCAGGGCCCCCAAACGGCAGCAGCAGTAGCAGTGTCCTGCTTCGGAACTACAGTTAGTATCACTGAGGTCTCCCTTGTGTGACGTGAGAGAAGTAGCCGAGGCTGAGCATCCTCTGGAATTACACCATTTGCCATTTTCTGAACAAAACTATCTTCACAAAATATCCAAAATCAGCGAAGGACTTCTGTACAAAATTAGTAAGGGACGCCTTAGTAGAAAGCCAAACAAGCCTGTGGCCACGGACTAGTGTAACCTAGAACAGTCATAGTGTGTTAACAGAAGTTCACACTGCATTAGGTACCCAGGACACAGGATGAAGTATAAGCTAGCCTTTGAAAATAGAAAGATGTTCACCTTATTTGTGGCTTTT